AGTCACTTAACCCCATTGCCCAACACCCCCCCCCCAAAAAAAAGGTAGGACAGGGAGAGTCACAGGACCATGGGCTGGTCATGTGATGTGTGATGAGATTACCTTTCCAATGGGGGGGAAAGAGGGAGAGGGAGGGAGGGAGGGAGGGGGAGAGGTAGGGGGAGGGAGGGAGGGAGAGAGACTGAGACTGACTTCTGGCCTAGTGGGTGGACTTGTGGTGAACTTTGGGAGAACACGGATAAGAGTCCCATAGGATGGGCAGGCGTGGATGGACTGCAATCTGAATCCTTGGAGAGAACTCTCCAGATGATAAGATCAGAGATCCATTTGTACATTTGAGTAACACTTTTTCATTTGAGTATTGTATTTTCTGAGCTTTCCAAGGAGGCTTACACTGCAGGCCTCCTAAACAAATAAATTGCAAGTGAGGGGGAATTCCCACATAAGTGCTCTGTATAATAAATTTACAAGGCCAGCCATGGACAAAACCAGCCTCACCTTGACCAATAATAACGCTCAAAAGACACAGAAACACAGATCTAGATAGAGAGACAAAAGATACAATTTGTCTACCCTCCAATTAAAATCTTGAAAGCTCACAGTAGATTTGGAAGCAGAGAACTAGAGAGAACATCCCCAAAGGTAGGTAACCTGATGTTGGAAGGCAAAAAGACCATGCCATTATATGCTGCTTGCTATTCTACAAACATTAGTGCAGGCTGGTGACAAAGGACACCTGACAGACTCAGGAGGAAAGTATCTTTGTGGAAAATGAAACATCAGGGGCTATTCACATTGGGACTTAGTTGTACCTTATTTTTAAATAAAATTTGTTGGGATATGTGAGTGTAGTTCTTTCTATCTACATAATATCTATTATATAATAATCAGAATAATCTGGAATGGGCATAAGAGATTATTCCCAATTTACTACACTCAAATCCATGACACTACCCATTTACTGAATGATCTCTTGTTGTCTGGCTTCTGAACAAAATCTGTTCTCTCAAAAAGTCACCAATAATCTCAACTGAGCAATCAAAGACCTTTCCCTGAGTCCTCATCTTACTTGAGCTCTCTGACAATGCTCCTGAATGCTCCCTTCTAGCTCTGACTCTTACCATACCGATCTTCCAGATGCTGAAAATGAATTTTGGCTCTTTTGATGATTATTACCATCTCCCACCCCAAAGCACAGGGTCACCACCACCACCATACCAAGGCTAGACTCTTATTTGTTTACACTTTCTGCCTTGGTCATCTCATCAACTTCCATGCATTTAATTATCTTTACACAGCTGACTCCCAGAATGGTAAACTGGAAACACTGGCTCTACAAAGAGGGGACCTAGGTTTAAAAGCTGCCTCTGATGATTATTATCTCTATGACTCCTGACAGGTCATTTAATCTCCTTGGGCCTTAGGCTTATCATCTGTGAAATGACAGCATTAACTACATAGCCCAAGGCCCCTTCTAGCTCTGTAATCCTATGTATACAGACCTAATCTCTCTCCTGAAATCATTACAAACCAATCAACAGTTACTTGCTATGTGCCTAGCACTAGGGATACAAAGATAAAGCTCCAACTTGCAAAGAACTTACATATTAACGGGAGAAGACGTGTACGTAAATATGTACAGAGAAAATAAATATAAAGTAAGAAAATACAAGGTAATTTAGGAGGAAAGGCATTGGAAGTTGTAGGGGCTGCTGCAGGAAATCAGAAAAGATTTCCCATTAAGGATGCTGCTTGAGCACTCTCTTCAAGAGAAAGAGGGAGTCTATGAAGTAGAGATGAGGAAGTAGTAAGAGTGTTTTAGACACAGGGTTGGCCTGGGCAAAAGGCAGAGACAGGCAATGGAATGTTGCGTCGAAGGAACAGGATTAAGGCCAGTTTGCCTAGACGGCAGCAGAAGGGAGGGGGGGCAGTAATAGGTAAGGAAGCTAGAAAGACAGGATTTTAGATTTAGGGCTGGAAGGGACCTTAAAGGCCGTCTAGTGCCACTCCCCTCTAGGCAGTGAAGAGTTTTGAAAGCCAAATTTATTTGATCATAGACACAATTGGAAACTACCGATTATGGGAGTAGCATGGAAAGATCCATGCATAAGTAAAATCATTTTGGCAGTGGTGTAGGAGGGACTGGAGTGGGGAGGAGACAACGAGGAGGCTACTGCAATAGCACAGTTGATAAGGGCCTGAACTAAGAAGAGAGGATTCTAATTCTAGAGATGTAGGAGGTGGAAACCTAAATTTTGACAACTGATTGGGTATTTAGGGTGAAAAAAAGTTGAGGATACTCTCAAATACCTACTGTGTATCAAGCTCCTCCTAAACTTGCCCCTCCTCCAAACCTTCCTATTTCTATTAATGGCAGCACCATTCTTCAAATCAACCAGGTTCTTATGGTCATCTTCAACTCTTCCCACAACTAATCAGCTGCCAAACCCGATTGATTCTACCTCCACCATCATCTCTTAACTGTCCCATTCCCTGTTCTCAAACAGCCACTACCTGACTTCAGGCTGTCATTTCTTACTTGGGTAACTGCTATATCTTCTAATTGCTCTCTTAGCCTTGTCTTCTCTTGACAATCTGTACACACACAATTGCAAAAATAATGTTCCTAAGGAATGGAGTAACCACGTTACTCTCCTGATCCTCAACAAGTTGGACCTTCCACAATCCAGTTCTAATCTACCTTTCCAGTCTTATTACTTATCATTCCCCTTCATGTATTCTATGTCTCTGGAATATCAGCTATTCTCTCAAGTAAACATATCTCCTGCCTTCATCAACTTGAATGAGCTGTCTTCTGTGGTTGAAATGCATTCCATCTTCATTTCCACCTTCCAGAATCTTATCTTCCTTTGAAGAAATCAGTTCAGATGCTACATCCTCTGCAACACCTTGCTTACCCCTCTTCTTTTCACTCCCAGGCATTGGTGTCCACTTCCTCAAATTTTCCTAGAGCACTCTGATCCCTCCATTACCCCCATCACTCCCTAAATCTTATTTTAAAACTATATAAAGTCTTCTTTCTCCCAATTTAAGCTCCTTGGTCAGGTTCCATTTGTGTAATCCCAAAATTAAGCACAATGCTTTGCATAGTAGGACTATATTAAATATGATTAGCCTGACATGCTGAAACGTTACTAGGCCACTAATTTACTCACACACATCTCCAGAATTTTCACTGGCTATTACCCATGCCTCTCTCCCTTCTAATCTCTGCCTCAGCTTCCCTAGAGTCTTTCAAAGCTCACCTTAAGTCACATCACCTTATGCAAGAAGCCTTTCCTAACATCACTGAATGCCAGTGCCTTCCCTCTGTTTATTATCTCCAATTTATCCTGTATATATTGTGTTTGTACATAGTTATTAAGCTGATGTTTCCCCCATTAGACTGCAAGTAAACTTGCTGAAATCAGGAACTATCTTTTGCCTTTCTTTGTATCCTCAGCGCTTAGCTTCTAAAATATAAGGCACTTAATAAAAGAATACGTTAATATCTAAAGCAATAAAAGTCGTTTCTGAATATCTCCTCAGATGGGGATAATAGTTATACTATCTACCTTATAGGTTTATTGTGAGGAAAATAAAACTATACCCCATTATACTAATATAATTTATTATGAAGGGGCAGGCAAAAGTTATCTCTCTCTATTTACCCCAGGGCCCGGAACAGTGCTTAAGGAGTAGCAGTAGAAAGAATCATAGGGATTATAGAACTAGTGCTGGAAGAGTCCTCAGAGACCACATAAATCCAGCCCCCTCATTTTATAGAAGGGGATGAAGCCTAGGGAGTTTGAGTGACTTGTCAAAGGTCAATGGAATAAAAATTAAAGTTAGGAACTTAACTCGGGTCCTCTGACTCCAACGTTAATGTTTTCTCCCATTATATCATACTGCTTCCCCTCAATGCTGCCCCATGCAACAATCCATCCAACCCTGGCACCTCCCCTCCCCCAAACCTAACACAGCAAGCCAAGACACACTGGAAAGTAAACAGTGCTGAGACAATACAGGACAAAACATACTTTATTGTAACAGCAAACGTACAGAGTGCTGCAGGCAAAACATGCCGCTATGAATTTGTCAAAAGATCAATATGCAAATAATCAAGGGGTTTCCTTGGAGAAAAAAAATTTTTTTTGTGTGCATCTTAATTCAATTACAATATTGTCTCTGGTTAACAGGAGACATTTATCTAACCAAGAACCTATAGATCAGATAAGAAAGAACATGGTCCTAACCCAGCCTAGCAGATGTCTTCAACGTCTACCAGGCAGAGATGGCTGCTGAAGATTGAAGGTTTGACCAGGTCAGAGTCTTCTTTCTAATCAGCCAGATCTAGAAAAGCCATGGATATGTGTGGATGGTGCATCCAAATAAGTTATTTTTAATGGCCTCTATCTGATCAGTGGAAAATACTGGAGTGTCTGGAAGGAATAAGGGCCAATATTTCAAGTACAACTGCAAATTTCACGTGAACTCTCCAATGTCAGGAAATGTGGACAAATACCCTGAGTCAAACTTCAAGTTCCTCTTTACAGAGGGGCTAATTATAGTTCTGATTTCAATTGCTGGATTCCTGGTAGGGATTAATCACAAAGAATTGAATCTACTTGGCTGGCCCACGTACCAGGATGGAAAGGCCCCGTCAGAAAGATTATGCACACATTGAGGCATGCACCAAAGCCCCATGTGATGCAGTATTGGAAGACAAGCTGTTTTGTTGTCTCCCTTTCTTTTTAAACAGATGCAAATTATATGCTTTCTGCATGGATGCACACTGACATTTTGCTCAACTGTTTTTTTTAACTCCTAACTACAACATTGTGGATTTAAAAATAGAATATTTTAAACAGATTGCAGTAACCTCTTACATTTAGTGAATCTGGAATAGAGATGAAAAGAAAAACATTCAGTATTGCAATCATTACTTATCAAATTCTCATAATTTATACTTTTGATTGTTAAAGCAACACAGGACCAGAAACATCCAACTATTTCTTTATTTATATTATTATGCTTAAGTTACATGGAGAAAAGGACAACCAAGCAGTTCTGCCCCATTTCTGAAAAGTTTCCAATCAACACCAAGTATGTGGTGACAAGTAACTAGCAATGGTAACGCCTTTGGGCCAAGACTGACAAGGAAGAATGGGCTCTGTGCTACTGTTCAACCCCCACAAGAATATGGCACAATGGCCAGCACGAGCCACACTAACACTGAACCTTTAGCGCTGGTCACAAATTCGGATCTCTTATCTGAAGCTAGCAAATCAGGTGAAATAACTGGGTTTGTTTGTTTTTTTAATTAAAATTAAGTCCCCCAAAGAAGCTTAAAAACCATACTTGACTTCTATTTTACCTCCAAAGTTCACACTAAAAAACACTGATTTCACTCTATTAGCCCAGATTTGTTTTCCCTTTCAACCCACCATATAGCTGCAGATACACTATTCAGCTTAAAGATGTAAAACGTAAGAGAAAAGGAAAAAAAAAGATAATGGCATCTGCATAATACTCCCTCTACACACAGCTGCTGGATGGAAAATATAAAGTTAGAAAAAAAAAAAAAGAAAGGTTCCACTTCCAATTCTCTCCACCTCTTGTTCCACAGTTCATGAATCCGACTCTGATGCTAAGGTGACAGTGTATGTAAGTAGATTTTTTTTTTCTGTTTCAGTGAAGGAGACCTGGGAAAAGATGGCAAGCTTTTTCTCTTCAAGAGTTATCAGAGGGTACATGCTCTTCAAAGCCCTCGCTTTCTCGGACAAGAGCCCGCTCCAGAATCACTCGGCCTTCCTTATAACGCTGGCTGTCTTCCGTGGCAAACTCATAGATCCAGCCAAGTTTGCTGTTGCAGTTTTTGCAGCTCACATCTCGAACCATGTGGCGTCCGGTGAGCATAACGCGATCCTGAACTTCACTGTACTGAAGGTTAACTACCTAAGGAGGAAAACGTTTTCAAAGAAATAAATATCATTTGTTGCCAAGCCCAAGGCTGGTACATGGGCACCACTTGCATGCCAACACCCCAAATTTTCTAACTGACGTGGGGTAGCACAAAGTACTAGTTATGTAGAGATATAAATGACGAGACTTAGAGAAATAAGAGAAATAACAGCTTCTTGGCGTCCAAGTTTAACAGTGAGAAAATTCTGTAACTAATCTGTTTAAAGCTCTTGGAAGGGCTAGCAGGGCTGTCCATAATTTGACTGAAAACACTGCATAGGAACAGATGAAATGGCACTAACACAACCACTTAGTAACTGGAAACATTTTTTTCCTGGTTTTGTTTTGGTCCAGATCTGTGATTTCATCAATATAGGGCACTTTCAAGTGTGGGGAAACCTGCTTCATTGCTATAGATTCTCAAGGTTACAACTAGCATGGATTAGGAGCAGAATGTAGACCAGATTTTCCTGACTTCAAAGCTGTTTCTTCCTCTATCAACTATGACACACAACTTCTCATTATGTTAAATGATCAACCAAAAAGTATTTAAGTACCTACGTACCAAAAAATGAAAGAATTTCTGGCCTTAAGCAGCTTACATTTTATTAGGGGAAAACAGGTAGATAAAATATAGATTAAAATATGAAATATACATATAAGGTAATGGGAGAGGAAGGAAATCAAGAAAAGTGTCATGTAGGAGGTGCTGCCCGAATTGAGTTCTGACAGAAGCTTCAGTCCTTTTTCAGTTGTGTCCCACTCTCTGTGACCTCATATGGGGTTTTCTTGGCAAAGATACTGCAGTGGTTTGCCATTTCCTTCTCCAGCTCATTTTACAAATGAGGAAACTGAGGCAAACAGGGTTAAGTGACGTGCACAAGGTCACAAGCTTGTAAATGCCTGAGGCTGGATTTGAACTCAGGTCTTCCTGACTCCAGGCCCTGTGCTCTATTCCATGATACCTCACTATCCTATTTTGATGGAAGCTACAGACTTCGAAAAAGCAGAGGATGAGTGAGAGGGAGACAGAGAAAGAAAGAGAAAAAGAGAAAAAGAGAGAAAGAGAGAAAGAGAGAAAGAGAGAGAGAGAGAAAGAGAGAGAGAGAGAGAGAGAGTGTGAGAGTGAGTGTGAGTGTGTTCCAGGCATGAGAAAAAACCTGTGAAATGGTAGGGAGACAGGAGATGGAATATTATATGTGAGGGACAGCAAGTAGGTTAATGAGGTTGGACTGTAAAGTATATGAAAGGGAGTATTATTATAAACCTGAAAAGCAAGGATGGAATGAAATTGTGAAAGTCTTTAAATACTAAAAGGAGAAGTTCGAATGTGATCTGAGAGGCAACAAAGAACCTGACATTTACTGGGCAGGAATATCAATTTAAGCAACTAGGTGTGCGGTGAGTTTGAGAGGAGAAGAGGCTTGAGGCAGGGATATCAATTAGGAAGCTATTGCAATAGCCCAGGTGAGAGATGATGGTGAGCCTACATAGGATGGTGGCTGTGAATAGAGAGAAGGGGATGTATTCCAAGTTACAGCAATAGTGAAGGTAGTTATTAGTGCACATACCCCTTCTGACAAATCCCAGCTTTCGGATGCTGTAGAGGCAAATGAATACGTAGATACAGATAGGGACTAACTAGACCTGTGATTTCACTGGTATAGGAAATTTCCACCAAGGCAGGCTGGTACCTTCTCTGATATTTGAGAGTCTGAGAGAATTGCCTACAGCACTGAGAAGTCAGGTTATCTGTACAGGGTCACAAAGCCAGTATGTCAGAGGTGGGGCTTGAACCAAGATCTCCCTAACTTCAATCTCTATCCCTTATGCTACACTGCCTCCTCAAACATGTAAGACAGACAATTTCCAATAAGGAGAACAAGTCAATGAGTATTTGAGTGTCGACTATATAGCACTGCTGCTAGACATTAACCTTGAAACTTTTTTTTTTCAGTCTAAGTTACAGTATTTTCATCATGGCCTTAGGTAAAGTCATCATTCCAAATTTGGACAGTGAATGCTAGGTTGGATAGTCTTTCTCTGTTCACTTACTTTATATAGAAAATGACCTTCAACACTGAACAAATCTCCCAATAAAACAGAAATCATATTTCAGTGCCAAATAATAATTCAGGTCAAAGTATGGCTCAAAGTCAGAGTCATCTAACCTTTTTTATTTTTTTTTTTGTACACAGAAAGGAGCTCCTATGGACCTAACCTGAAATCTACTGATGAAAGAGAACAAGGTACTAATATGACACTTGTAGTAGTTGTCTGTAGCTCACTTTGAAATTCAAAACAATTACCAGGAGAAGGACGTATCAATGTTTATCCATGATGGACCTCGTCAGGTTAATCAACTGGCTGGAGACTCTTGTTGTAAAAGGAAGAAAGGAAGCCTCTTAGAGAGTTTGGAAAAGCACCACGCCTATGATATAGAAAGTATTTAATAAATGTTCAATGACTGCCTGGGACCAACTGCTGGCAGACCTTAAAGAAGCAGTTTTTGGTAATGCTAAAGAATGAAGAGAAGAAATCATATTACAACCATAGCCATGGCAGAAGTGATTGTACACATAAAAATATTACAGGAAAACTTTTTTTTGGCCAGTACTCATGCTGAAGATACAGTAAAACTGATTGGAGTTGTCCTAAACCAGTCGAAGAACAGAAAGTCTTAAACAGATGTTTAAGTCAGATACAGATAAACTGACACAGATACTGGGAAATAAAAATCCTTTTCAGGACCTTCATAAAGAAAATTTTAACTTGCAATATGTTAATATTATTATTCAATAATCCTGTTGCTGCAGGTGAGTGATAAAAGTGCCTGTATATGAGAATACAGTAAACTTGCATTACACTAAAATATTTCGGTTTAGGAAATGTTTTTCCTGTTCTTTTTCTAGGTTACAAAGGTCATGCCATAAAATATAATCAGTATCTAATCAGAATATTATGTAATATAATCAATAATCTATTATTGGGTCACCACCAGCTGAACTTGCAGCTAACTGTAAAGCTGAATCAAAAAGAGTTAGAGATACTTAGGCTGGGGAAGAGAAGGCTGGGGGAAAGGGATATATGACAGCTGTCTTCAAATCTTAGGAGGGCTGTAATGTGGTTGAGGGATTAGATAGGCAACTCAATCACAAAGGACAGAGTCCTAGGAACAACAGGTGAAAATCAGATTTAGGCCCAAAAGTCAGAAACTACCCCAGCAATAATGAGAGCTATCCAAACGTGGAATGAGGTGCCTCAGGGGACAGTGAATTCCCAGTCAGTAGAGGTGTGCAAGAAGAGCCTAAGTTCTGTACTTGTTGGGAATATTTACTTCAGGTATAGATTTGACTAGATGACTTTTGAGGTCCCAACTCTAAGTCTACCAAATTTTAAGTACAAATTTTTACCACAGAAATAAAATAAAGGAAATTTAGTCATCTCTTCCTTATTTTCTTGGCCCACTTACAATGACCCATTGAATGACAATTAGAGCCTAATCACAATCGTTTGTTTTGGTTTCTAAAGCTTTCTGAAGGTTTGTGTTCAGTTCGTATTTTTAAAAGGGAGATTTCTTAATGTTCATTATAGACATGGAATAGGATAGCTGCTAATAACTACAGACTGAGAGGGCAGAAGAGACAAACCACGTATACATTTTCTTGGTTCAAAGTCTGATGCTTGGTGCTACATGATATTGGAAAGAGCACTAGATTTATAGTCAAAAGACTGGGCAGGAATTCTGTCATTGCTACTTAGTACCTGCGAACAAGTCTCTGGCTTCAACTTCTTCATCTGTAAAGTAAGGGGGCTAGATTAGATGAGATTTAAAGTCACTTCCAACTCTAAATCCTATGATAAAAGTTACGGCAACCTCTCTAAACTGTTCATTGTCTATGTGAGACTGGCACTCTATAGATGACTTTTTTTTTGTGGTTCTGATATAAAAGATTAGCTCCCACTCAGGTATCAATCATTTCAAATGGCTCCAACAAATTTATTGTTTCAAAAGCCTTTCCTGTAGCTTACAGATTTTTAAAACATAACTACTTGAAGCAATCAAGCATAAAAGTGTTGCATAGTGCCGAGGGTACTGGACTTGAAGCCAGGAAGACCCTGTTCACATCCTCCCCTCAAATATTCACTGTAAGCCACTTAATTTCTCTGGGTTGCCACTTAACCACTCTACACCTCCATTTCCTCATTGAGAAAACTGGGAGGATCGGTCACAATGACCGATGGCCTGTAAAGTTCCTTTCTGCTTTAAAGCTATGATCCAATGGAGCTAGCAGGCGAAAGAATCTGTGAAGAAGAGGTTTCCAAAGAAAAACCTTTCCTGTGATCTCCGATACGAGAATACAGCGGCAGGAGAGGCCCTATCGAGTCTATTTCCATGGCACAGGGAGAACCTGAATTCCCAGAACATAAACACACATCTGTTTCCTCACCCACCTTGTTGAAGAGAAAAGCTCTTCCAGTGGCCCCCGTGAAGCGAGTGGAGATGAGCTCTGAGCGGTTGGTCAAGATCGTATCACAGTTCGCACAGGAGAACAGCCGAGTCCCACCGATATGATCGAGGAAGATTCTGCCCATTTTTATCCGTTGTTTATTCCGAGCTCTAAAAATCTAAGAGCAAAAGGAAGAGGTGGATTATAACCATCACAGCACATCTATCCGGCGCCTACTCTGCTAGAAGCAATACAGTTATTTCTAACATAAACCCTACTATCTAAAGTATAATGTCTAAAGGCATAGAATACTCATCGAAAAGAAAAAAAACTGAACAAATATGTAATTAAATATAGCATTTTAGTGGGGAAAAAATGATGGAAACAGATATGGTTTGATGCCCAGGCAATGCAGGTAGTGAGAGGAGGGCAAGAATTGTTACTTGTCTCTAATCTGGAAAAGATAGGATAATAGAGGTGGGATTTCCCTGTTCTAGTAAAAAGAACTAAAAAGTAAGACAGAGGATCTGAGTTCAAATGTTAACTTTACTATTTAAAGAGCTGTGTGACCTTCTTAGCAAGGTATTTAACTTCACCCCAGTTTCTACATCTTTAAAATGGGGGTGACACTTACTACGAACCTCCTATGGGAGTTACGAGAATCAAATAAGATAATGGGTAAAAAAAAAAAGTGCTTTGATAACTACAGTTTTTACTTATCTTGCAAAGTAGATAACATTAGGAGAAAAGATGAGGGAAAGATTACAAAAAAGGGGGCACTTAAGGAATGTGGTTCAGATCAAGAAAAGGTCTAGAGGCAAAAATGGAAGGGTCAAACAAAGGGTCTTGGAAAAGGTGTGCCTAAGACACTACTATGTCTACTGTGCTTCAGGTACTGAGCTAAATGCTTTACAAGTATCTCATTTGATCCTCACAACAGCCCCTTGAGGTAGGTAAAGTTAAGGGAAACTGAGGCAGGGTCTTGCCCAAGGTTACACAGCTAGTAAGTGTCTGAGGTCACAAGTGAACTCAGGCCTCCGGATTCCAGGCCCAGCAGTCTCTCCATTGTGCCATTTAGCTGCCTACAAGAAGATGGAACAGGCTGGAATATTAAAAGTGACAAGAGAAATAATATAACCTGGGCATAGTTCAAGGATCATGAATTTAAACTACACAATAACACAAATTCATTGTAGTGCCTTAAGGAAAAAAAAATAGCCCATCAGTGATACCGATAAGGAGTTTACATTTTAATGGAAAAGATACAGCTGAGGAGGAGTCAGATATACCCTTTAACAGAGTAATAACTCATTCTTATTTAATAATTCTACACATATATAAGGCATGAAAAAGCCCAAGACTCTCAAAAGTATATGCACAAAACTAGGATATTCATTATACTTAATATTCCAGATGAGAAGAATATATGCAAATTATTAAGTCATGGAAGTTAAGTTCTTTTCTTACTTTTGAATGTTTAAATACACTTCAGGAAAAACTATAGCCTTCACTTAGAAAATGTAATATCAAACTCCAAACATATACCCTTTATTAAAAAAAATGGTATTTTAAATGCTGAGGGTACTATGATAATGTCTAGAATCCCAGGATGACAATAATTTGCTGTCAAATTAAACTCTGGGAAAATTATATTAGAAAAGAATAAGTTCTGTTCTATCTTGGACCCAGTGATTCTCTTTAAACATTATGCAGGGCATGGTGTAAACCAGATGTAAACTACTTCAAAACCAATACTGTAGGGGCAGCTAGGTGGCGCAGTGGATACAGCACTGGCCCTGGAGTCAAGGGGACCCAAGCTGAAATCCGACCTCAGACATTTGACACTTACTAGACATGTGACCCTGGGCAAGTCACTTAACCCCACTGCCTAGCAAGAAACAAAAAAACTAATACTGTGTAATCTATTATAATGTCTGTGCAATCATGACAGTTAAGTACCTGCATTAAGCCCATCAAGCACAGCTATGCTTATAGCACATAAGTGCTACAAGGAGAAAACTGCACTAATAACAATTTTAACTACAATTTTGACCTTCACACTCAAAATATATATGGTATTTTATGGATAAGAAAGTCAGTGAGTGAAAGAATAGTTCAACTTCTTCTGAATTCAACTTTTCCAAATAAAGGATGAATGAATACTTTGATATTGATGGATATGTCATCTCAAAAATGTGGGCACTTCCTCTAATGGTACAGATTTCAAGCCATCCATACCTTTTCATCCTTTGTTACTCTTGTCTTTGTCCTCCCCATAAATCATCCATAGGGAGTTCTCTCAAAGTGCTAGGGACTTTCCTTAAGATCTGATAATGAGTAAATATCAATGGAGTACACAAGCTATCAGTTATTAGCCCTGCTATATAACCCACCTCATCTTCCTCTCACAACTAATATGCTTTACAGCAGTTCTCTTGCAAAATTCATTGGTGATATGCTGCAATTTCTTCACACTCAACAATTCACCTTACTGGGCAGCCCTACTTTTCCCAAGGCCAAGATACTCTATGCCTCACAGTCAGAAAAAGACAGCCCTCTCACGTTGAGTTTAGTTAACTGTGTAACAGTAAGATTTCTGTTGCAAAGAATCATGTATGAAAGCCTGCCGATTCCCATTTGATATCTTTATCAAAGATGTCGATATATGTGAAAAGTAATCTCTGATGTTATACAGATAAGAAAGTAGACGGATCAATGCTTTGCTTGTCTCAAATTTGTGTCACTTCCACCACAAGCAACCTCTATGTATTTTTCATTTAGTTCACCTATTCTTCCTTCCCATGTTTGTTTCCTGTAGTTCCATTACTCTTTTTCATGGCAGACATTATTATACTTGAGTCCACAGGTGGAAGACTCCACTATAATTACAGAAGATAGCTTGTTAAATAATTCCCAACTAGAAATTAAAAGTATTTCATTTATTCCTCTTATGCCTTCACTTGGATCTCTAAAGATTTCTGTAAGAAACCATTTTTCATTAGTCTATAGTTTTGTTTTACCTGTCCATTTTTTGGCCTTTACATTAAAGAGAAACCATTCCTTATTTTGCAACAAATACATGAACTATTTGAACGCAACAAATTTAATACTCAAAAGATTATACCTTCCTGTAGCATGTTAGAAATATGCACCTCTAGGAATTCACATATATAACATGGATGTCTTAAAACAGAGCATATAATCTTTTTACAAAATTACAATCTCATTAACACTGCTGTGTGGAATAAGAGAAAGAGTAACATTATATGTCATTATAGTAAACAAAAGGGGGGCAGCTAGGTGGTGCAGTGGATAGAGCACCGGCCCTGAAGTCAGGAGGACCTGGGTTCAAATCCAGCCTCAGACCAAACACTTGACACTAGCTGTATGACCCTGGGCAAGTTTCACTTAACTTCAGCTGCCTTAAAAAAAAAAAAAAAAAAGTAAACGAAAGGGCTATATACTGGGAATACCATTTAACTCTTAAGATAAATCAGTATTATAACAAAATACTTCATATATGGTACCTCACTATAGCAAGCTCTCAAGTAGTTAATTATCTGTAGAAGGCATTATCAAAGTTTTGAGAATATTAAAGAAAACATTAAAGAAAAATTATACAGCAGTTGGTATGGTATGAAATTAATATGTGCCTTTCCAATTTGGAATTATGCAAATAAAGTGACTAAAATTATCATACCCTTTGACGCTTGGAAGGAGGCTCCAAACCCACCAGCACATTTATAGTTTGTGGTGGTAAGGTGCCCATCAACTGAGGGATGGCTAAACAAATTGTGGTATATGAATTTAATGGAATCCACTTGTGCTTTATGAAACCACAAGCATGATGGATATAGAGACGCACGGAAAGACTTAAATGAACTGACACAAAGTAAAATAAGCAAGGCCAGGAAAACAATACACATAATGACCAAAACAAGGTAAATGGAAAGAAATAACAATGCAAAACAACTAGATCTGAATAATGCAAAACTGTGAAGAACAAGCTTGGCTCCAAAGAAGAGAAGTGAAGATACTTTCCGTTCTTCTGCTTTTTCAGAGGCTGAGCTCCTCAGGTATAAAAAACACTGTATATAATATTAGATTTTCTCAACATGTTGACCAATATTAATAATTTTTTAAAATTTCCTTTTTCTTTAAAAGAAACCTTTCTATGGTATAAGAAATGGGAAATCTAGGTGATATAAATAACAAAGGATATCAATAAAGATCTATTTTTTTTTTTGGAGAGGCAATGGGGTGAAGTGACTTGCCCAGGGTCATACAGCTAGTAAGTGTCAAGTGTTTGAGGCCAAATTTGAACTCAGCTCTTCCTGAATCCAGGGTCGGTGCTCTATCCACTGTGTTATCTAACTGCCCCTTAAAGATCTATTTTTTAAAAATGTCCCTTTCTCTCTCCATATCCTATAATTCTTCTTTTCTTCCTATATCACCTCCCCACTCTCATATAATATTTATAAAATCAGAAACCACAATTTTGCCTTTCACATAATATGACAGTAGACTATGGATAGTAATTCAACTACAGATTTAAACAAATGACAGACATTGTTAGTAAAGTTTTTAAAATATATGATCTACGAGTTGCTTGCCTTCTCAATGAGGGTGGGTGGGCAAGGAGGAAGGGAGAGAATTTGGAACCCAAAGTTTTAAAAACAAATGTTAAAAATTGTTTTTATATGCAACTGGGAAATAAGATATACAGGCAATGGGGTACTGAAATCTATCATGCCCTATGGGAAAATAAAAGGGGGAGGGAATAAGAGAAGGGGAGATGATAGAAGGGAGGGCAGAAATGGGGAGAAAATTTGGAACTCAAGATCTTGTGGAAGTGAATGTCGAAAACTAAAAATAAATAAATTAATTAAAAAAAAGAAAATGGTCTCTTTGTGCAGAGTGAGGGTAGAGAAGATAACCAACTCTTAATTTACTTGCTTTGCTTTATTTATTAAAATAAAATTGTATCACTGTCAAAAAAATATATGATCTAGATTAACAAACAGCAGTAATCACATATCATCTTGACATAGCAACACATATTAAAGTTTATGAGCTACCGAGATATTATCATACACAAGTTGACTACTTTTTGTGCAAAGCACCAATTGTAGGCACAGTGTATGGAGAAGTGCAAAGATCACTCCTCTCAAGTAACTT